CTCAATAACATTCAAAAGGTCAGATGTTGTAAACTCATATTTTTCAATTTCATCTACATTGAAATGACATATGTCACATTCTCTTAATTTATTATTCATTAAATTGCTTCATTATTATAAGCTGAAATTTAATGTCATTGTAGAAGAGTATACTACTAGCAAATAAAATTACAAGAATTTTTAAAATGAGTTTTACATTTATTTTTAAAAATTTTGGTTTTTTTGATTTTATAAAAATGCATGACCTGGCCGGGCCACTGAGTCACTGATTTTGACCTGGTTTGATCAGGTCTAATGCTTGACTTAAACCGGTCCAATGACTCGGTCGGGTTTTATAACAGTGGTTATTAAACTCGCTTCAACCCGATCAGATTGACCCGAAAACCAGTGAACCGGTGACTTAACTAGTTTGAGTTAGCCAACGAACCGACTATGCTATCGACTCAGCGAGAACCTGTTTAACTCGGCCAGCTTTTTACAAAATTGATGACTCGGTTGATTTTTGTTAATCCGGTCGGGTCATGCATACTTTAAAAAAAAAATGAAACGACATCTTTTTTTAAGAACGACCAAATGCAAAATTCCTAAGATGTCGTGCATCATTTTCAATTCACATATACACATATCAATTACACACAAAAACACGAATAAACATTTATACTTAAGAAGGGTGAAATTGAAATGAAAAGTGAAAATGTTAAGTAAGTTGGATTGAAATTTGAAAGTATAAGAGACAAGGAGAAATAAATAATTTGAAATTTAAAAAGTGATATTAATTTATTTTTTAATAATAACCTATGGATAATTTTTTTTTTGAAGTAGGGAGGGCCTAAGCCCGAAAAAATAAATTACAAAGACACAAGAGTTCTATAGCTATGAAAAACAAGTGCTCATCCAGTAAACTGACCGTTCGAGGAGGAGGCTGGTTGAAAATGATGATATCTTCTTCAATGTCAAGGCCTTGTTTCGCAAACTAGTTCTCATATTTGTTTCCAGACATAATTTTGGATAATTCTGAATAGACATATATAATTATGAATTTTGCTAAACATCAAAGAAGTTAATGTTAGGATTGACATTTTTGTACATAAAATTAAACTTTTTTTTGCCTAGTGCTAACAATCATTACTGTAGTATATGAATCAAAAATTGAGATCGTTCCTCAAAGAACAGTGGTTTCAATTTCTTTTATCACTTCTATCCTAGATTTCTCGAATTTAAATTACTCAACTTTTCAAACTACAAATTAAATTACTAAAATTACAACCGTATTTGATTCAGCAAGGTAACTATAGTACGTATTCAACAATTAACAATAGTAATTAGACATTGGAATTCTTAATATCATGAATTTTCCCTGTTATTTTTACATCCCTGCACGTCACTTGCTATAACACTTTTCATAATTTCCCAAATTAAGATTCAAATCCAATTCAATCAGTCCCCTAAACTTAATTAGATTCGTATATGTCTATTTATCAACCTTCACTCCAGATTATCCCTAATCTTGGAGCTTTCAACTAGCAAAATATCACAAAATTAGATTTCTCAATCCAAGAATCATGTCAAAGAAGGTTCAAGAACCACTCCCATAGACCTTAAACGAAAAGATTTGCTAGTTGAAATACACAAATCATGCACAACAAGTGTTCTAATATAACGGGTACTCTTTAATCATTTAGAATTCCAGCAAAGAAAATGAGAAATTCATCTTAACAGTAAACACAACCAAGAAAATCATATAGGAGAAAGGTAGCATGTTCATTTCTCACCAAGTCTAAAATCATAAAGTAAAGTTGAGAATTACATACCTGAGACTTCGAATTACTAAGTTCAGAAGAGAAAATGCTTAAAGGAAGAAGGTTGGGATCTCAAAATACACAAGAAAATCTGATCTTCTTGAATCCCTTCAAAAGTTTCTTCTTTTCTTGTACTTGTGTCCAAGAGAACTAAAAACTAAGAATTAAAAAACTGATACTTCTATAAAACTGGAAAAATGTAAAACTAGGGCGGTGTATTGGGTGAGAAAAAAAGTCTTATAGATTTTAAAAGACTATATAGAATTATAGTGATTTTAAAGACCTTTTTAAAAGTCATTTTTTGCAATTAAGATTTTATAAGATTGAATTTTAAAGGATTTCAATAGAATTTATAAGATTTGAAAAGACAATATGGATTTATAAGATTTTAAAAAATAATATGAATTTTAACAAACATTCAAAATCACAAGAGTCAATAAAAAAATAACAAAGAAAATCAATGATATTAATAAAAAAATCTAAAACCTAATACAATTTTCTTAATCATTAATTTGATCTAACTTGATGACTTACTCAGCAGTAGCTCTTCACATATTTATACTAGTCCTCCATACATTAACATCTTCTCATTCCTACTCATGGGTTTAACCAATGGGATGAAAATTATCTTATTCATTTAGTATCAGAACTATGCATATATGATTGTAAGATCCACAATTTTTTATTTATTAAAATAATTAAAAAATTTCATATAGAACCTAAAGTTCATGATAAAATTTCGCTTCAAATTTTTTGCAATTGATCTTGAAAACCTTATGGATTTTGTTCTACATGATGAGAGATTTCTAACCATGTATCATATGCATCTTTTCATTGAGTATTCTAAGAAAATTTTGAATATCAATTTCTGGGTTTTATTACATGGAAGTTTAGAAAATTTCTCAAATTATTTTTAATTGATATATTAAAACCTTAAATTGCTTTGGGGTTTTTGAAAAACAAGTTGTTAATGATCTATTGACACAAAAGTTGTTTGAAATCGTTTCCTATAGCGAAGGAATTTCATTCATGAATGTATTGTTATGAAACATAGGGTTCATATTATGAAAGTTTCAATCTTTCTTTAAATCGATCTTGTTTCATTGATGTAAAACGAAAATTGGTTGGGAGTTTTTGTTTCCCTATTATTTTTCCACTATTTTATGTTATTTTTAATACAAAAATCTCACTTTTTGTGCCAAGAAAAATCACGACCAATAGTTTGAAAAATCATTTTTTAAGCTTCCAAAAGTTCTCAAAAATCACTAAAAAATTTGCTATTTTTTAGATGAATTAGATTAGAATCTTGTTGGGTTGTTTTGTGATGAAAATGGCTAAAAAATATGCTCTTTTTGATCTTTGACAAAGCTCTCATTTCGGATCCTCGTTTCAAGGGGGTTGACCCACCAAAAGAAGATGAAGACACTGTAATAGAGAAATCTCAAGAAATTCTAGGGTTAGGGTGGGATTGTGAGAGGGTCCTATTTATATTTCTCACTAAAAAGTCTCACGAAATCCACACCAATAGAAAATCCACTAAAATCGTCAGATTTTTGAATACCACAAGATTATTTTTCCTTTGTTTAACATCCCGATTGAATACTACTAGATTTGGATGGACTCTAAAATAATTTTTAAAATCTTAATCTAATACCATGTGGGTTTTTTTCAATCCTTTTAAATCCTAATTGAATACCAATGGATTTTTTAGTCCAAAAACAATCCATTAAAATCTTTTAAAATCTCAATCTAATATATACCCCTAAGGCTTTGTTTGAGAGTTTTCAGGAGAAGAGAAGTAAGGGGATCAAAGGGGGAGAGAGGGGAAGGAAAGTGAAGGGTATTCTCTTCCCTTGTTTGAGAGTTAAAAAAATAGTAAGGGAGGAAAATAGAGTTAATGAGATATTTTTACCATTTTACCCCATTTCTAAAATAAATATAATTATTATATTTTACAAATTAAATTATATTTAAAATTTCTAACAAATTATTTATGTACTTTTCACAATACTAAAAAAGAGCATATTTTCGACGAAATTTCTACGTTGCAAACAATGAAATTTTCGTCACAAAATTATTTTTTCGTCAGAACACTTTTCGTTTAAAAGCGATGAAATTTTTACGGAAATATTTTCTGTCAAATTTTTTTGACAGAAATGTGTTTTGTTGAAAATTTCGATGGAAATGTGTTTTATCAAAAAACTTGACGGAAATATTTTGCGTTGAAAATTTGCGATAGAAAATTTTTTTGTCAAAAATTTTAACGAATATGTTTCTATCGAAAACTTTCGACAAAATTTAAATTCTGTAAAGAATTTTGATGAAATTTTTTTCCGTCAAAAATTTTCCATGGAAATGTGTTTTGTGTAAAATTTTGATGGAAATAGTTTTTCTCAAATTTTTTGATGAACATGTTTTTTTTTTTTTGAAATATTTTGACGAAATTTAGATGCCATAAAGAATTTTGACAAAAAAAAAATTCGTCAAAAGTTTTACAGAAACGTTTTTAGTCACAAATTTTGAAGGAAATATTTTTCGTTTTTGCGGAAAATTTTGATGGAATTGTTTTTTGTAAAAAAATTTGACGTAATTGTTTCGTCAAAATTTTGGACGAAAATATTTTCGTTGAAAGTTTTGATGAAAGTTAGATTCTATCAATAATTTTGACTGAACTTTTTTCGTAAAAAATACCTCAAACTTGCCTCTATGTGCTCAAGTAGATATCCAAGTCTCAAGTGCTTATCAGCTGATTTTCCTTTTTACCATTTGAGTTCATCGTTAAGCAATGTAGTGGTTTTACAATTCAATTCTCCATTTATCACCTTACATGTCAACTCTTAACATCAATCAGCTATACTGTCACAAAGTATCAATACCAACCAGCAATCTAGTCCAAAGACACTTGGACTGAGCAAGTCTTCAATTAAACAAACATCACACTATGTTACAATGCACACCAAGTAGTCATTATACACACTCATATCAGCTGTATGAGCGTATGACATCACTTGTATGAGCGTAGCTAACTCATTTCGGGTATATTTGTGTGCAATTATCATGGCTCTTCAAAGGAGGACCCGTCGGGTAGTTGAGGATCCAACACCGGATCCCGTAGCAACTGCTCTAGCAGCTCTTCAGCAGACCTTGAATACTGCCAAGGAAGCTGAGCTACAGAGGTTTGCTGAGGCCAGAGAGTGAGATATGGAGCGCATGAGGAAGACCAGTGAGGATCTCATGGCTCATAACAGATTGGCGAACGTGGAGATGATGATACTATTATTGGCTGAGGTTCGAGCAGGACCTCCACCACCTCCACCACCTCCACCACCACCACCACCACAAAAAGACATACATGAGTATTATAGGACCCAAGGCAAGGATACTGCAGGCAAGAGTCTCCATGGGAAGACTACTCCCTGGAATAGGAAGAGCAAGGGCTTGCATGTGAAGAAAAACATAAACAAGTCTAAGAGAAATGGGATCTTTAAGAAGAAAAATGGAAGAGTTGGGAATGAGAAGACTCCTACTTGTGCTAAGTGTTGGAGGTCTCATTATGGTGTCTGCCGGATTAGGCGGAATGTATGCTACAGTTGTGGTCAAGAAGGACAGTTTTCTAAAGAGTGCCCCAGGAAAAGATGGCAGATTATGGCTATCCAGGCAGTTCCTATCCAGACTGTTCCGACTCTGATGGTCATTGAGGAGTCTCTAGTACCCACTAGTGCCAGAGTGTATGCAGTCACTCAGCAGGAGGCCAAAAGGTCGCCTAATTTGATCAGAGGTACCATTCTTATCAGAGGATATGTTTTTATGCTATGTTTGATTCAGGAGCTACCCACTCCTTCATATTGGGATTTGTTGCTAATGGGTTGCATTTGCCCATTCATGAGTTCACGCATCCCATGGTAGTTAAGAATGCCACCGGAGATAGTGTTTCTACTTCTTCGAAGTGCAAAGAAGTCAGATTCATATTTGAGAAAGAAGAGTATATGGTGGATTTGATAGTGCTTGAGGGCATGAATCTACACATTATTCTGGGCATGGATTGGTTGGTCCGATATGGTGTGTGCTTGATTATTGTAGCAGAAGGATTTTCTTTTCTGCAAAAGGAGAGAAGTCGAACAGGTTGTACTTGTCTGTACTGCAATTAAAGAAGACTCTGAATGAGGGAGATGCGGGATACATTATTTTGTGAGGATTAGTAGAGTCTCCAAGGAACCAACTGCGAAAATTCCCGTAGAGTGTGAATTTGATGACGTGTTTCCAGAAGAAATTCCTCTGTTTCCTCCAGAGAGGGAGATTGAATTCTCCATTGATTTATTGCCTGGTGTGGAGCCTATCTCCTTGGCTCCTAACCGGATGTCACCTATAGAGCTTGCAGAGTTGAAAAAGCAGATTGAAGAATTATCCTGTAAGAAGTTCATTAGACCGAGTGTATCTCCTTGGGGTGCACCAGTCATCTTTGTGAAGAAGAAGGATGGGACTATGAGGTTGTGCATGGATTACCGGCAATTAAACAAGGTAACAGTGAAGAACAAGTACCCCCTACCCTGCATTGATGATTTGTTGGATCAGCTTAGGAGTGCTTCAGTGTTCTCGAAGATTGATTTCCGTTCCAGATATTACCATATCCGAGTAAAAGCAGAGGATATTCCAAAGACGGCTTTCCGATCTAGATATGGGCACCATGAGTATTTAGTGATTCCATTTGGGCTTACTAATGCCCCGACTGTTTTCATGAGTTATATGAACTGGATCTTCAAACCACATCTAGATCAGTTTGTAGTGGTATTTATTGATGATATTCTGATATATTCCAAGAGTAGAGAAGAACACACAGAGCATTTAAGGGTAGTCTTGCAAATTTTGAGGGAGCATCAGTTATATGCCAAACCATCTAAGTGTGAGTTTTGGTTGCATGAGATTCAGTTTCTTGGTCACATCATTTCATCTGCAGGAGTGGCTGTTGATCCGAGTAAAATAGAAGCGGTGTTGGATTGGGAGAGACCCAAGAATGTTACTGAAGTCTGGAATTTTCTGGGTTTAGCAGGATACTACAGGCAATTTATTAATGGATTCTCAAGAATTGCCTTGCCATTGACTAGATTAACCCGAAAGGGGTTGCCATTTGCATGGGCCCTTGGGTGTGATGTGAGCTTTCAAGAATTGAAGGATAAGTTGACTACCGCACCAGTTTTGATTCTTCCTGACCCGAAAGAGAGATTTGAGATCTATTGTGATGAATCCAAGTATGGATTAGGGTGTGTGTTGATGCAAGAGCGAAAGGTAGTGGCCTATGCTTCTAGATAGTTGAGACCTCATGAAGAGAACTACCCTACTCATGATCTTGAGTTAGCGGCTGCGGTTTTTGCCTTGAAGATATGGCGACATTTCTTGTATGGTGCTACTTTCACAGTTTATAGTGGTCACAAAAGCTTGAAGTACTTGTTCGATCAGAAAGAGCTTAATATGAGGCAAAGAGATGGATGGAATTTCTGAAGGATTATGAGTTTGACCTTCGGTATCACCCTGAAAAGGCCAATGTGGTGGCTGATGCCTTGAGCAGGAAGACTACGAGTGTGTTTAGTATGATGATTGTAGAGTATGAATTGATTGAGAAGTTCAGGGATTTGAGAATTCCCGTGACACCACTTGAGACTTCATATTTTATGACTACAGTTGAAGTCCAAAATTCACTTGTGGAAATAGTTAAAGCGGCCCAATTGCTCGATAAAGGAATTCAAGGAATGAAAGAGCAATATTTTGTATTCACAGATACTTCTAATGTAAAGCACTACAAGGACCAGCTGATAGTTCCGAAAGGGCCAATGGTAGAAGAAGTGATGACTGAGGCTCATATGGGCAAGTACACCATCCATCCAGGTGCTACCAAGATGTACCAAGACTTGAAGCGAAATTTCTGATGGTCTGGGATGAAGAGAGATATAGCTCAGTTTGTGAGCAAGTGCCTTGTTTGTCAAAAGGTGAAGATTGAGCATCAAAAACCTTCTGGCTTATTACAACCATTAGAGATTCTAGAGTGGAAATGGGCGAGCATATCCATGGACTTTGTTGTTGGATTGCCGAGAAGCCAGGATGGATTTGATTCTATTTGGGTTGTGGTTGATAGATTGACTAAATCCTCCCACTTCATTGCAGTCAAGACGACTTTCTCCACAGAGCAGCTAGCCAGACTATATGTCAAAGAGATCGTGAAGCTTCATGGCATTCTTGAAAGCATAGTTAGTGATGGGGATCCGAAGTTTACTTCACGCTTCTGGGAAGCGTTACATTATGCCTTTGGTACTTAATTGAGATTGAGTATAGCATATCACCCGCAGATGGATGGTCATACAGAGAGAACCATTCAGACATTGGAGAACATGTTGAGAGCATGTGTTTTATAGTAGGGAAATGCGTGGGACAAGTACCTGTCGTTGATTGAGTTCTCCTACAATAACAGTTATCACGCCAGCTTGGGCATGGCTCCTTGTGGGGCCTTGTATGGCCGTAGGTGTAGGACACCTACATGTTGGATGTAGGTGTAGGACACCTACATGTTGGACGAAGATTGGAGAAAGGCAATTATTGGGACCAAAATTGGTCCAAGAGACTACAGAACAGATTGAGATGATTAGAGATCGGCTAAAGAAAGCACAAAGCTGTTAGAAGAGTTATTATTATGCAAAGCACAGACCCCTTGAGTTTTCTGAAGGGGATAATGTATTTATTAGATTGTCACCCACCACAGGAGTTGGGCGTGCGTTGGGAGTTAGAAAGTTGAGTCCACGGTTCATCGGACCCTATCAGATAATAAAAAGGGTTGGACCTGTGGCGTATCAACTTGCCCTACCTCCCAACTTGGCGAATTTACATGATGTGTTCCATGTGAGTCAGCTCCGCAGATACATATCTGATGATTCACACATTGTCCAGCCTGATGATTTAGAGGTTAAGAAGGACCTAAAGTTCGTTGTGGGACCTTCTAAGATTGTAGCTCGATATGAGAAACGACTTAAAAACAGAGTCATTCCCATGGTTAAGATCCAATGGGAAGGATTGACACTAGAGAACGCTACATGGGAGCGGGAGGATGATATTCTCTGGCGATATCCCGATTTTGATATCAGATATGATCCGATTTTGAGGACAAAATCTTTTTAAAAGGTATGGTGAATATAATAACCCTAATTTTATAATTTTGAAATTAGTGGATTATTATGAAGACCTTAGGGTCATAAATGGAATGAGGATGAAATTCTAAGAATTTTGATATCCATATTGAGGGTATTTTACGCAGGTGAATTTTCATCTGTTATTTTTGACTGCTGACGTAGTAACTGTCAGTAGAATAGATCCAAGTTAGCAAATTATAGTTAGAGAGCTATTTTGATGATGTGATTATCATAGATGAGGTTAGTATATGATTTGATGAAGTTTGATACCCATATTGTGGTATTTTGGAAAAGTCACTTCTATCTAGTATTTTGTACTGCTGTAGAAGTAGCCGGTAGAATCCCATAACGGGAAAAAGATGAGAAAATGGAAAGAAAGACCAATATATGCCTAACAATTCATAATTAGACCAATAATATTAAAGTTAGGATTATGAAATCCGGGCACAGTTAAAAACACCGGTAAAGACTACAGTGCAAATAAACAACTGTTAGTGGATCTTTCATCGACTAATCAAATTTTTAAGTTATGAACATGATAATTAGATAAAAATTAATTTTAATTACTTAAAGTTAGAGTCTTGGGTGTTTCTGGGTAAAAAATTTGATAACAGTTCAAAGAAAAATTACACCAGGTGTCACTAAATGACAGAAAGCCACTTAATGACATGGCATAAACCCTAAAAACTCATTTCTGATCAGCACCATAGCAGCCCCCTCTCTCTCTAAGTTTGAGTTTTCAATTTTTCTTCACCTTCTCTCTAAGATTCCACCACCAAAACTCCATCAAATCACCAAATTTCCTTCACAAAACTTGTTCCTCTCATCCTCCTCTTCAAGAACATACCATTTTTGCTCTTGGAAGCCAAATTTTCGTGGTGAATCCCTCCCCAAACAGCAGTGGTTTTGGAGCTTGTTCATGCCTTGGAGATGATATTTTGAGTTCTCTTGGAAGAACACTCATTTGGTGCTTGTTTCCTTAAGTTTTAGTGTAAGTTTCTTGAAGCTTTTTCTTGAAAAATCCCACCTTTGAGTTGTGATCTTGTTAAAGGTGTGTTCTTTGTGAAAAAGATGCATCTTTGTTGGAGAAAAGTGGAGGCTTGAAGATTTGGAGTCAACTTGAAGAAGTAAGAATGAATACTTGGTGAAATGGTGACCAAAACCCTCCTCCACCCACCTATATGATTCGGCCAACATGGGTTCTATATGGGATTGAAGTTGTAGTTTGATAAAAATGGGTTCTTGATGTTGGAAAATGTGGAAAATCATGAGTTGAACCAAGAAAGATGTCAAAAATGGAACTTTTAAGCTTAAGAACACTAATCATGATTAAGGAATGGATTTGAACCCTAATAATACCACTTAGTCAAATATGTCCTAATAAGTATAATTAGGATTTTATGTTTAAAATTTAATTAAATAGTAGATTAGTGGACTAATTAAGTGTAGGACTTAATTAATTAAAGAAATGGTGAAGTTGTCAAGTTAAAAACCCTAATTTACACTCCTAAACAATTTGGCCATGTGAGGATGACTTAAGGTTAGTATGTTAAAAACCCTAATTTACACTCCTAATTTACACTATGCCTACTTTCTAGAGACTTGGAGTATTCGAATACTCATCGAGGAGTATTCGAATACCTCTGCAGATTTAGTCTTAAATCACTTAAAATGAGTCGGAAAGCCTTAATCACTTAATGGAACCTTGGGCAATGATTATTGATGATTAATTATTGTATAAACAGACTGTGATTGTGATGTTTGGTGACATTGAGCTTGTGTGAACTTGGCTTGGATTGATCTCTTAGAGGTAAGCCTTCGTGTCCTCGGTTTAGCCATTGTTGGTTCCACCATACCCCATGGGGGGATGGTTTATATGCATGATGTATTTTCATGTATTGATTTTGAACTGTTGTTGACCTGTTATGTGCAAGTGCTATAATATGCATGTGTTGTTCCACCTAGATGGTAATCCTGTGTATGTAATAGGGTGATTCTGTGGGTGCAAGTAGTGACTTGCATTGAATGTAGGTAATAGACGTATGTAAACCCTGCATTTCTCTGACCAGTAGAATAGTTGACACACATGACATGATTATTCTGTTGCATTGCACTGATTTTGGAACTTATATTATATTACTACTTTTGAACTTATATTGCACATGTAAGTGAGCTTGGGGTGGAGAAATCCTTGAGGACCCCTTGTCTTACTGAGATTTCTATTTTAGAGATCTCACTCCACGTTTGGGGCACATTTTCAGGTTCAGGTAACTAGGGGGTTGATACCTCGGGTGACAGGAGGCCGAAGCTGATGTGATATGCTTGCTGTTTATACTGCTGTGTTTAGATGCTGATATGTTTTACATTTATTATCATGTTATTTGATGTGAGACTCTGTTGGGCTTTGTTGCCTTATTTGGTGAGCATGGGGGTTGTCCATGCCACATTGATTGACTATGTCTTATTTTAGATTTGTGTTGTATTATTGTCCAGACTACGTGTTGTAGTTCCGTGACTTAGATACTCACATTTATTTATATTTTGAGGTATTCCAGTTAGTTGTTTATTGCAATTTACATACAGGCAATGTTTTATGAAAAAGGATTAAGTAATCAACTTGGTAATATTAATGACGTCATAATTGAAAAGAAAAAGTTATTCCGCAATTTAAGTAAGCGTTGCTTAATACGATGACATGATAACAAATCGGGTATACATGGGGTGTTACATTTTATGGTATCAGAGCACTTTCTAGGAAAAACCCTGTATGTATTGCAATAACTTAAGATGTTGTGTTGTGAGTCTTGTCTCGTGTGTTTCTCTTTGGGATTGCTATGATAATGCTAGTGTGATCACATTGTATGGGCTTTATCAACTCATTATTTGTGTAACATGTGCAGAGTTATGGCGCCTTATAGGAGAACTCGAGAGACGAATGAGGGTCAACCTGATCCTATCCTGACTGCATTGGCTGAGATGCAGACGGTTAAACTAGCCGATCAGGAGGCCGCTAGATTGGCCAACCAGGCAATGATGGACGCCGTTCGAGAGGCGAACCGGAAGGCCACATAAGATGTTCTTGAGGCAAACTGGCTGGAGAACATGACCATGATGAGGGTCATGTTGGAGGAGAGG